TTCGTATCAACAAATATCTAACAAATAGTTTGTGTGAGTTTCAATAGCGGCATTATACATTTGTAAAACATAGTCTTATTGTGTTTCACGTATCATAGATTGATTATTTGAAATGTTCGTCAATTAAAATTTCAAACTCACTTAAATTGTTTGAGCATGAACACAACATGTACAGGTATATCGTCCCAAGCATCTACGACTTAAAATGTGAAAAAAAATCTCCTTAACTCGGTGTTGCATCGGTTTTTGTACATCTTGGAATTGTGACCTGGTGTTCTGCCATTCAGATTTATACCAAAGATTAACCAAAAGTGATCCTTTCATCCAAAATTTTGTTAGTTATTTAAAAAAAACTACTATTAAGTCCCCTTTATCCTTATTTCAATGTTAGGAATTGTAGAACGTTCAGATGCTCTCCAATGGAATTCCGAAAGTTCTTTTTATCCTGGTAAGAGTTTGGTGGCTATTCGCTGATCATTCTCTATTAGTTGTATGTCTTTAATTTCTTCTAAATGTGGTCTGAAAATCGATTCATCTATATATCTGAAGGATTGGCTTTGTTGATGAAATATTGCATTTATGTTCCGAAGTCTAGTTTGTCAGTCACCATTACACCAAAATCTTTTTCACTGGTAATGCTTTCTAGTGTTTTTTGCTCGCCATTCTGGCCCGTAAGATGATAGCTTCTGTCATCGAGGATTGATTCTTTGATACGGAATACTTTACATTTATGTGAGTGGAATTTTTATAACTTGTCGTATGACCATATTTGGATTTGATCTAAATCTGATTGTAGATATATCATATCATCTTAGTTACTGATCTTCCGGTATAGTTTGGTGTCATCTGCGAGGGAGGGAAATGTACATGTAGTACGAACAAGATGGGCCCCAACACTCTTCCTTGAGGAATTCCACTGAGGACGTCAAAGGCTTTGATGATGATTTATGTTTCAACACATTTTGATGTTTATTACTCAGAAAGTCTTCTGTCCATTTTATTGTTTTATGGCTGACCCCATATTTATATTGCTTAAATTGTATATAAGGCGATGATTTCTGTACAATTCACTTTGTTTTAACTTGATATTCACTCGAGCTTCCTCTGGTCCTGACACCAGACATAGACATTTTGATAGATAGATGTTCCACACCAGGCATCTATCTGTCAAAATGTCTAAGTCTGGTGTCAGGGACAGAGGAAACTCGGTCTAACTAGACATTTATAACTTTTACAAAAAAAAATCTTCTACCTGCTGCGTGCCACTCCTACTTGTGTGTTTATGACGGATATTTCCTCCGATCACTTTGATCTATTGCACTTTTATTGTATTGCAATAAACCGTGTTAAAACAAAAATGGGAGCGGCTGTTAAGCTGATGGTTGATAACAATAGGCTTACCGTCTAAAAATATATCTAAATCCATTGGTAGTGTCAGAAGCAATCGCTAGTTGAAAGCGCTGGGTCAGATAGCCGGCGTCGGTCTGGTATCTGTTTGGCGACAGCATGGGTTTCCCGCCAGCTTAACAAACACACATCTATTTAATAGTTTAAGTACCTTAATGTCGAAAGATGTAACCTTTCCGAATAAAGTATCTTGGTAATGATACAGTACTGAACGTATTCACATTGGGTACATTACACGGTTACGATTCCGATCATCACAGACAGAACGTCATCATTTATGTAACAAGTATTTTTAGTTTTACTCCAGAGGACACTCATGCAAGTTTATAAATATGCGCTAATAATGAACATTTCTTAAGTAATCATCAATGGGTTTGGTGCTGGACCTTTATTATTTTATTTTGTTTACATGTTATTGGTTCCATTATATACGCCTGCACCTAGCTTTGTGGACATGAGTTCTGAAGAAAGGACCTGTTACAGGAACAAAAGAATTTTGCCCACAAAGCAATTTAACCATTACTGGGTTATATTTGTAGCTCCCTAAAACACGACCCATGAGATATTTTTTTTAAATTAAAAAGGTCCCCAGGGCCTGTGCTATGAACTATTTAGTGCCGCCTTCGTAAGGTGTACGACAGGGTTCACTTTTTTGTCCAAAAAACTATCAAAACAATGTTTTACGCTACCAAATAATATTATATTATTAAAAATAGGATCTGCTGCAAATTATGAACTGAAATATGTAAGAAAACATTGCATAATAAAAAAGTAATAAAAAAAAACCTCTAAAAATGTTGGTATTTTCATACACGTTTTTGCTACATCAATTGTTTTACGGAAGTAAAACACCAATTTCCGGTTCTTGTACACCAAAAATATTTTAATATTATTTGGTGCATTATGTTGAGATACGATAGCGAAAAGTTCAGAAAATTTGAGAACCGGTAAATTTGTCATATAAATGTCAAATTGTAGCAACGTCTATTTCCAAATAAAATCCAACAACCTTATGACCTATAGTCATGTTTGATAATTTAACAATACGTCGCACCAATTTATTATCGCAACTGATCAAATTTTCATCAATAAGGTCTGCTGCTCATGATGAGCCCAACTATAAAGCTAGATGTTGCAAAATAAAAAAAGTTATGCAGTCTCACACACATAAAAGTTTAGTATGTTATGTACATTTTTAGTTGTTTCGCATCTTTACGGAAGTGATAGACATATTTCCGGTTTTTGTACACCAACATACTTTGGATATTATTTGGCACATTATGCTGACTGACGATAGCAGAAATTTCGAAAAAATCGGTAGCCGGTAAATGTGTCATCTTAAGGATAATATGTTGTATGACCAATGTCAAAATAAATCTTCAATAACTACAGGTCATCAGCTGAAGCTGGCACCTGGCTATATCACAGAACATCAGACAGATCGGGGGTGATTATGAGATATGGGTGTACCAACATGCTGATGACCTTCTGCGAGGCCAATTACATTCTCGCCACAGGTCGCAGGCAAAATACAATGTCTGGATAGAGTTTGACCTACACGCATCAGAGGATCCTGTCAAGGCATACTATTGTGTGTGTCCTGCAGGAAAGACTCATGTCGCATTAATACTGTATTATCTAGGATACTATACACATTTAACAGATACTTAAACGCTCCAGCCTAAAGCTCGTAAATTCAGAGACTGCATATTGTGAATGCATTCAAAAAAGAAATTTTATTCAATTATAGCCTTTGGCTGAGGTCGATACCTGGATTTATCAACCCGAGAAAAGATATAATGACCGAGGACGCAGATAAATCCAGGTATTGACCGAAGTTAAAAGCTACAATTGTTTTATTATTTTACAAAACAGTAATGCAAGCAATCTGAAAAAAAAAAGAAAAAAAAAATATTCGGAAGTGGGATGGTGCATTGTTTGGAGACACGTCATAATTCTATTTTTATAAACACCCAGTCCTTCAACAAAAATCACGCGCTCCAAGTCAATATCGGTTTTTATCGGTGAACACGTGATGCACTTCTGGCCAATCACTTGTCGGGAATAATATGAAAAAATAATAAGACCTAAGATTGAACTGAGAAAGCAGAAATCAGAAAAATGTTTTGAATGACGAATTTTGACTATGTGTTGTCAAATTAAAAAAACAACAACAGTAAATACAACAATCCATGAATTGAAAACTATAACTCTCCTAAAAAGAAACAATTTTATGGGCTAGCATAGCTTCAACATATTATACTGGTACACCAAATGTTCTGACAAATTGCCTAACTTTTGCTGTATGCCCCCTTTAACCACCTAGTTTAGTTAAACAGTCATACTCTACTATAAACCATATCATCCACCTTGATAGTATTTAATTTATTGGAATGATTTTGGGTTAATTATGAAAGAATTGCATTGATCTGAAGTTATTGAAGATTTATTTTGACATTGGTCATACAACATATTATCCTTAAGATGACACATTTACCGGCTACTAATTTTTTCGAAATTTCTGCTATCGTCAGTCAGCATAATGTGCCAAATAATATCCAAGGTATTTTGGTGTACAAAAACCGGAAATATGTCTATCACTTCCGTAAAGATGCGAAACAACTAAAAATGTACATAACATACTAAACGTTTATGTGTGTGAGACTGCATAACTTTTTTTTATTTTGCAACATCTAGCTTTATAGTTGGGCTCATCATGAGCAGCAGACCTTATTGTTGAAAATTTGATCAGTTGCGATAATAAATTGGTGCGACGTATTGTTAAATTATCAAACATGACTATAGGTCATAAGGTTGTTGGATTTTATTTGGAAATAGACGTTGCTACAATTTGACATTTATATGACAAATTTACCGGTTCTCAAATTTTCTGAACATTTCACTATCGTATCTCAACATAATGCACCAAATAATATTAAAATATTTTTGGTGTACAAGAACCGGAAATTGGTGTTTTACTTCCGTAAAACAATTGATGTAGCAAAAACGTGTACGAAAATACCAACACTTTTAGAGTTTAAGATTTTATAACTTTTTTATTATGCAATGTTTTCTTACATATTTGAGTTCATAATTTGCAGCAGATCCTATATTAAATAATATAATATTATTTGGTAGCGTAAAACATTGTTTTGATAGTTTTTGGACAAAAAAGTGAACCCTGTCGTACACCTTTGGAAGGCGGCACTAAATAGTTCATAGCACAGGCCCTGGGGACCTTTTTTTATTTTTTTAAAATATCTCATGGGTCGTGTCTTAGGGAGCTACAAATTTAACCTAATACTGGTTAAATTGCTTTGTGGGCAAAATTCTTTTGTTCCTGTAACAGGTCCTTTAATGTTTTAACTGGTCAACAGTTTTCAATGGTTTTCTTTTCTGTCATTATTCGTTTAACAAATTGGAAATGTCAGAGTTTGAAATTTAGTTGTAAGGACCTATACGGCTTTGAGCAAGCTGCTGACATCCTCGAGGACTGTCTGTTTATGAATAGTATCGATTAGAAATAAATCTATATCTACATAAATGAGTTTGTGCGTTAAGTGATACCTTGACATCTGGTTAACCTTTTGCAGATAAACATAGAATATAGGAGGGAGTACCAAACAAGAAAATTCCATAACGGTGCATAATGGACGTACATGTTCATAATAATGATGCACAAGCTAAAGAAGGCAAAGCGGCCGTGGAGGAGGCGCGTAAGCTACAGTTTAGTTTTGACTTGGTAGAGGCAGTGCTTCACCATGTGGATTTTCTTAGCAGAGTCGACCAGTATTCTTGTTTGCGCAAAGGAAAACATCTTGAGGAAGCCCTGCGTAGATACGAAGAGTTGTGGCTTCCACTGGCAGCTGAACATAAAGACAAGGTGCTGTCGGCACCGTTAGACATTGAATGGGTTTGGCACTGTCATATTCTGTCCCCACTTGCATACAAACGCGACTGCGAATCGTTTGTTGGGGGAATAGTGAACCACCGTCTGCTGAGTAGACAAGACCGGAACACAGCTGTAGAAGTGTCGAAAGATTTGTGGATGCAGAAATATGGAGAGAAAGAGCCGTTTAAAATACATCTGCCAATGGGGAAAGAACTTAAGGAAGAGGAGGGAGAAGACTGGACATTCACGTCTCAGTTGAAGTATGATGTGAGAGCTGCTGCGGGACGTCAGTCCCTCTTCTACTACAACGTATCTCTGCCTCACTACCGGGACCGCCAATTCATCGGCAGGTGCGTGCATCGCTACCAGCAGTTCTTATACTTAATGACATTGGTCAAGAAAGCATTTCTGGTACCATGCTACGACAACGATCTAGTTTGGCACACACATCAACTTTTCCCAGTGACTTACCGACAGGATACGGAACGCATTCTGGGAAGAGTATTGAACCATGACGATTCTACTGATGACAGGTCGCCTGGTTCTACGTTGAATAACTCATACGCAAACACATGTAAGTTGTGGAAGGAGGCATTTGGACAACACTATAGCTCCCCGGGAGCGATGTACCGGGGACCAACATCCAGGGGCACAATGTCCGACTTCACGACAAAAGAATCAGACATCGATACAGAAGAACTTCCTATATCCGTTTTTATACAATGCATAGCATTGCAAACGAACCCGGCTGGCTATAAGGCCAAGTTTTCTGTACTCATATACCGTTCTATCGCAGGAACCTCCGAACGAAAGCTGATAGTAGAACTCAAAGGACCCAACTTGGTATGGTCAGTGGAACAGTTGAAAAAGGCAACGTTCAACATGGAAAGAGGCGATGCGTTAGATTTCGTTATGGTTAAGAAATCTGGTGTATTAGGTCGAAAGGAGGAGGTGGCATGTGTGACGATTGAAAGCGCTGCAATTTTCAAACATGTGATTTACAGATATCAGTGTAACTTCACTAAAGAGATTGCATTTGATTCCGAGGACTTTGAGAACAAACTTTATGTTGACGGTGGCGTTAGAACGGTCACTGCAACCCAAGTCTGGTCATTTGAGGCTGGTGACTTTGGGGAATATAAAGAGCCAGCTAATTTTGACCTAAAAGACCCTTTACAGAAGTGGCAGGATGGAGAAGACAAGTGCTGTGCCAGCAGCATAGCGGACCACAGGTAAATATGTACACAATGCTAATAGCTGTAAACTGTAGCTTACTGATACCTGTCCCACTGCACTGCGGTTTTTCGTATGTACAGTAACCTCCCCTTAATATCGTTTATATATAACTGTAGCACAGTTGGCCAGGACACATCCGTTGACTAGGAAGCTCACTCAGTGAGAACTATAGTGAAACAATCTGAAGTCCAAGGTTTGAATACCATTCTAGCCCGCAGGGTTTTTAGTTTCAGAAGACTGTTGTTGATAATATTTTATTTGTTTCTTCGTTGCTATATTTCCATTTGCTGAAAGTGCCACAAGTCATAGTTTTCTTTTAAGAAATGATTTCTTGAAGCTATAGTCATACTGGGAAAACTAAAGCATAGTTACAGGTTTTACAGTGGTACTGGGATCCTTAAACTATTGTTTTTTGTAACGAACTTAAGATAATCTGAACCGAATCAAAATAAGCCTGACCTAACACTGACCATTTGTTGTAAAACATTATTTCTGAAGATTACGTGTCTCGATGCATCTTGTTCAGTGTGAGATATACATGTTTGAATCTACTGGTTTCTTTTACAGACTTTTGGATCCTTCTGGGCAAGAGGTTTTCAAGGTGCGCGTGACACACAATGTCAATCATATCCGGTCGTCTGTCCAGATCTATGACGCCGGAAGTAGATTGCTTACCTTGGCAAACCTTGTAGACTCAAGCCAGCTGCCACTTCCGGGACAGGTAAGTAACAATATAAATTACACTCAAGAAAGGAAGCCGGAAGTTGTAATCATTAGTTCGTCTGGACACCAGCACTCGAGCACCTTTACAAGAGCTACTTACCACAGCAAGTAAATAAACGAACCACTGAAATATACTGAATATATCTCCCATTGGACAATTATTACAAAAGCGTCATTGAGTCATGTAACGTTTTCATTACTTTATTTAATAATATAACTGTGTGATTCAAAGTAAGTATTCATTTAAATGTGTGCATGGGATCAGCATCGGGAAACTCTGCCAAAATCGTTTCCCCAATGCTTATATAGAAAAGAACCTGCAGGAATATAGGATCTATTGATTAGAATGTTTTCTTAATCTGTCTGATGGAAATTGACTGGACTTTAAATTCTTAAAACTAAAACCACTTACACTTGCAGGTGTTCCCGACAGTTTCTTATTTAATAAGTTCCACGGTATTTAACTGACAAGCACACCAGAGCAATTATGGTAGAACAAATCTGTTGTGTTCTACTATGCACGACCTACTACTGAATTTACGTATAGATGACATTTCAACATTATAGGAAGTTTCTCCTCTTGTTGCACACAGGTACCAACATAATCACCTACTGTTGCAGCATAGACCAAGTAAAAACCTACAAATTTTCAAATCAAGATTACCCACGCCCATGTTTAAAACATAGACCAGCCACAATACTACAACTTTGAGTCCTCGCCTACCTTGCTCTATTTCAAAACAGATGTTAAACACGCCTACTGTTGTAACATACCTACATCGTTATGGAAACGCTTTCCTTGCTTTATTTCAAAAGAAGATTAATCACAAACCTTCAACTAAATGGCCTCGCCGACCTTGAGCAGAGCTATTGGTATAAATATGTTGACAGTAAACTCAATGACCTCGATTTGAAAGAAGACTTGTCCTGTACAATAAAATCTGCTGGGTAGGATTTCGAAGTCTTTAAAATACGCAGCGATATTGTTTTTTAATACTGTTTGTATGCTATATATTTCTTTTAATGCGTAACAGCTAGGGACGCGTTTCAGTAATGTTTAAAATACCGACAAGCTATCAAGTAGCGAGTACTCTAACTTAATGGAAATTTTCTGTTTTAAACTTGTGCAACAATTAGCATACAGTACTAAAAATGAAAGAAAAACAATCCAAAAAATCCCCAAAGTCTTATATTCTTTACTGTTTTGAAGTAAATGGCGTCCGCCTAAATTATTTTACTTACGTTTGCGACGGCATATTTACTGAGGGAAAACTCGATTCGGTGATGTAATGTAAGTTAAGGTAATGTAGGGTAAAGTAAATGGCACCGCCATATTTACATGTACTTCACTTATATTTGAAATGTGATGCATATTCAATGGGAAAAACTCGATTTGGTGATAAAAAAATAATAAAACAAATCAAGTTGGTAAAGCGAAAATCTGTTTAAGCTTTGAATTGCATTCAATGGCCATTCATAGTCAACACGGGTGTTATCTGGAACGGCGTATTCCATTCAGCGATACAGAGCGTCGTGTAGAATTTGTGTGTCAGTACTTGTTCTGACTAGGAATTAGAATTCAATCATCAAACTTGATTATTTAGTTAAGGTTAGATTAATTTTGCTTCTTCAAAAATAGAACAGCAATGTGCTAGCAAAGTGTTATTTGATGCAATGTTCGAACATTACAAACATTGCGCTATTAAGGCTGAACTAAAGGCTTTAGTTACACGCAACGGTTGGAATAAATGTCCAAGTCATTGCTTGTTAAATCTTTTTATACTTGGTGTATTTCAAATTTCTGAAGGATTACTACAAGGATGTCCGGTATATGCACGTATGTTATCCCTGCCAGACAATACACTGCGCAATTATTGATTAGCTAGAACCAGTTTTAGTAGTAGAAGTTAGAAAGGGAAAGAACTAATTATTAAGCTGTCCGTCAATTAACATATTTCCCTTTCTGATGTGTGTATGCAGGTCACGCTGTTGTCTTTTCATACAGACCTTGAGTTATGATATTGTCATTTTTTGCTAACGCAGTTGCGAGATTTCGGTCGATTATATGTCATCCATAATTTCATTAGTTCTCCAACCTAAATGTTTCGAAAGCCACCAGGAGCAGTGTTAGTATAATCCTCTGGTAAAGTTCATTGATCAGAAATAAGAAGCGAATGCGAGGTAGTTTGAATATGATGGACATTTAAAAGATCATCTGGAGTTGTATAAGATTTTTAAACGTAACAGTACAGTTGGTTGGAACATTATTTAGTAGATAACTGTAAACAAAATCGATCTATGACGGCGATTGTTATGGTGATGCAACATACCAATCACTATTGTAAACCCATACACTAGTGTTAGACGGTACCACTGTACACCCCTCCACTAGTGTAAGACGATGTCACTGCAAACCCCTCCACTAGTGTAAGACGGTGTCCCTGTAAACCAATACACTAGTGTAAGACGATGTCACTGTAAACCCCTCCACTAGTGTAAGACGGTACCATTGTACACCCCTCCACAAGTGTAAGACGGTGCCATTGTACACCAACCCACTAGTCTAAGACGATGTAACTGTAAACCCATACACTACTGTAAGACGGTACCATTGTAAACCCATACACTAGTGTAAGACAAGTCAATGCAAACCCCTCCACTAGTGTAAGACGGTGTCCCTGTAAACCCATACACTAGTGTAAGACGATGTCACTGTAAACCCCTCCACTAGTGTAAGACGGTGTCACTGTAAACCTATACACTAGTGTAAGACGATGTCACTGTAAACCCATACACTAGTGTAAGACGGTGCCATTGTACACCCCTCCACTTGTGTAAGACGGTTCTATTGTACACCAACCCACTAGTGTAAGACGGTGCCATTGTACACCCACCCACTAGTGTAAGACGGTGCCATTGTACACCCACCAACTAGTATAAGACGGTACCATTGTACACCCCTCCACTAGTGTAAGACGTCGCCGTTGTAAACCCCTCCACTAGTGTAAGACTGTGCCATTGTACAACCCTCCACTAGTGTAAGACGGTGCCATTGTACACCCACCAACTAGTATAAGACGGTACCATTGTACACCCCTCCACTAGTGTAAGACGTTGGCATTGTAAACCCCTCCACTAGTGTAAGACGTTGTCATTGTACACCCACCAACTAGTGTAAGACGGTACCATTGTACACCAATAAACAATTTCAAGACGGTACCATTGTACACCCCTCCACTTGTGTAAGACGGTACTATTGTACACCAACCCACTAGTATAAGACGGTGCCATTGTACACCAACCCACTTGTCTAAGACGGTGCCAATGTACACCCACCCACTAGTGTAAGACGGTGCCATTGTACACCCACCAACTAGTATAAGACGTTGCCATTGTAAACCCCTCCACTAGTGTAAGACGTTGTCATTGTACACCCACCAACTTGTGTAAGACGGTACCATTGTAAACCAATTAACAATTTCAAGACGGTACCATTGTACACCCCTCCACTTGTGTAAGATGGTACTATTGTACACCAACCCACTAGTGTAAGACGGTGCCATTGTACACTAACCCACTTGTCTAAGACGGTGCCATTGTACACCAACCCACTTGTCTAAGACGGTGCCATCGTACACCCACCCACTAGTGTAAGACGGTGACAATGTACACCCACCCACTAGTCTAAGACGGTGCCATTGTACACAAACCCACTTGTCTAAGACGGTGTCATTGTACACCCACCCACTAGTATAAGACGGTACCATTGTACACCCCTCCACTAGTGTAAGACGTTGCCATTGTAAACCCCTCCACTAGTGTAAGACGTTGTCATTGTACACCCACCAACTTGTGTAAGACGGTACCATTGTAAACCAATAAACAATTTCAAGACGGTACCATTGTACACCCCTCCACTTGTGTAAGACGGTACTATTGTACACCCCTCCACTTGTGTAAGACGGTGTCATTGTAAACTAATCCACTATTGTAAGACGGTGCCATTGTAAACCAATCCACTTGTGTAAGACGGTGCCATTGTAAACCAATCGACCAGTGTAAGACGGTGCCTTTGTAAACCCCTACACTAGTGTAAGACGGTGTCATTGTACACCAACCCACTAGTGTAAGACGGTACCATTGTACACCAACCCACTAGTGTAAGACGGTGCCATTGTACACCCCTCCACTTGTGTAAGACGGTGCCATTGTAAACCAATCCACTAGTGTAAGACGGTACCATTGTACACCAACCCACTAGTGTAAGACGGTGCCATTGTAAACCCCTCCACTAGTGTAAGACGGTGCCATTGTAAACCAATCGACTAGTGTAAGAGGGTATCATTGTACACCCCTCCACTTGTGTAAGACAGTGCCATTGTAAACCCCTCCACAAGTGTAAGACGGTGCCATTTAAAACCTATACACTAGTGTAAGACGGTGTCTTTCCCACTAATAGAACTCATTTCATAGTCTTGTTTTTGTGATGGCCTCTAAATTAGATTAAAGATACCATACATATTTCAGTCATAATCGTCACTAGCTGAATATAAGAAAATCTTTTAGCATACCAACACCTAATGGAGAGTGTTTACAAGTTTTCACTGCTGTCAATGTCAATTCAAAACAAATGTTTTCAGAGAAGCGATATATTGTGTTCATATTGTGTTCATATTGTGCTTCATCAATTCTATTTGCTTTTTAATGGTAAAAAGAACATATCATGTTTTACAATTTAGCTCAAAACTAAATAAAAATAAACCAGACCATATCATGCCTAAATCAACAGAGTACCCTGAATGCCTAAAACATGGCATGTAATCAAAGCAAACATGACAGTATTCAGGAGAAGACTTATATAGGCACTGCCTGTTGTCTAATCCTTTTGTAAATTACAATAAAATTTGTTGAAAACAAATATGACATTATCAATTTCAAAGTAATTAAACAGTTGTTTCTCCATGCATGAAATCCAACATCGCAATTAATCGCTAATTTATGGCCACGTTAGAATAGAAAGTTACGCGTACTCGTTAGTTTTAGACTCTGATATCAAACTAGTATTGTTATTATATACATATATGTCTTCCGCCCCGCCGGACATCAAACTAAAAAAACTGTTCACCATTGTACTGCACGTACTAAACCTAAATGCCCTGTTTTGAAAACATGACTAGTCGCTCACCGAATCCTTTTTCTGCAGAATTCGCGATTCGACCTTATTTCACATGTTGCCCGCACAGTTTTGAGCTCGCCCTTACTATCACGTGTTTCCCGCACAGTTTTGAGCTCGCCCTTACTATCACGTGTTGCCCGCACAGTTTTAAGCTCGCCCTTACTATCACATGTTGCCCGCACAGTTTTGAGCTCGCCCTTACTATCACATGTTGCCCAGACAGTTTTGAGCTCGCCCTGATGTTATTCTTTGTCAATTGATCATGCTCGAATGGACATTTTCAACAACTGTGTCTTCTCTTTGTCATTGGCATCACCTCCAAGTAAATAGTATACTAAATGTTGATGTGCAAGTATAGTACGTTATAATGTTTATGTTATTTATGCAACACCAAATAAGAATCTTGACGATCAGTTCAAGTCGAAATCTATCAAACATTAAGGTCAATTCTATTTTCTGAAACATTGCTAAATTACTAAGTTCTTTCAGTTACACAAGTACTTTCTGGTGATAAATATCTGCCTAATACTGAAAATAGGATTGTGTTTAATTGTGATATATTTTATATCAGATCCAAAAGACTTTGAAATAGCTGAAATGCTTACCCTTCCTTCTATTTTTCTACGTATATATTCTTACATTATGTCATTATAGTTTTAGCATTGGGTATGTCTTTGTTTTAGATGCCATAATGGCCCATACAATGATACTATGTAAAAAGCTGTTGACGTATTTATTGACAGTTTGAATGTGCTTCACTGTTAATTGTTACAGGTATCTGGCACCGGACGTGACGTATGTTTGTCTCCGTCCAATGGCGAACGTGCTTTCCTAGTCAAAGATAACCATGGCGATTGGGGTGTGATTGGAGGCAGATGGATCCCAGGTCAAGACAAAGGTAGGTAGACCTAGTTTATGGATAAAATGACACAAATAAAGTAAAAAAGGCAAAGCTATTGTTACATAATGGTAATTTGGAAAAAGCAAGGAACCCTCCTGGTACGTATTGGCTGCACATTTCAAATCCCCAACCCTAGAATAAAACACCAAGCCATACCTAAATATAACTCCATCCTAAATCCAAAATATTCCCCCCCCCCCCCATTATTCACAGGATTGTCACATGTTTTACCTGTTTGTGTTTCCTCTGTCACACATTAGGGTATGATATATATTACATGCAAAAATACTTTGGCGTCACGAGAACGCTGAAATATGATGTCGCAATCAGCTTTCGACCGGAACGTTGCAAGTCATGGCAGAAAACAAATGGCAAAAGTAATCACCCTTTACTGTGATGGTATGTGAGTTATATTAAAACCCTTGGGGTGATATAAACAAGTCATGGGCATGAAAAGTTCTACCAGAAGTTGCGTCAGGGTCTGCCTCCGCACTTAGAGACTTAATCTCCGGTCATAAAATTTTTGCTGCTGACATTACATCCCATTTATTAGCTGTACATTTGTTGGGCAAGCAGATTGGTATACACATGTGCTACCGAGGGTGGGTCTGGGGTCATATCCAAATCCGGAGAACTTAGTCATAGGGTCATAACAGAGAAAATTTTTGAGAGAATCACTCAAAACCATATGTACAAATATTACTTCTAGGCATTAAGAGGCATACATAATAATGCTGTCAGAATTGGCTTTGCCTGATTAAACTTAGTCCCTTGGTCACACCACGGGAATATGTTATATCCCCACCCTTTTAAACTATATACACAATTGCCGGGCATGGAAATACTAAAACATTTGCTACCATAATTATCTGAAGGGCCTGCTTCTGCTCTTAGGGGTTTAGTCCCTGGGCCGTAACATGGTAACTGTGTTGATCCCCCACAACATAAACGGTTGCTGAGCATGAAGATTTGGAACACATATACTTCCTGGTATGTCCGAACCCCAGGAACTTTAAAAATTATGTGAATATTTTGTCTTGATAACTTAAATTAATACACTCTGTGTCTGTTGTGTTATCCAGAATTGCACATGACCTCACTTGTCGTAAGGTGATTGATAGGGGATATTTTATTGTTCTCGTGACAAATTTGTTTCCACGTGCTAGTCGTCATATGCTAGTGATTGACATTGAACACATCCTACCTTAATATGATTCATGAAAGATCATACTCTGGGGTTACAACGGAATCATGAAAGAGGAAAGATGAAACAATTATTTGTATTTTGGGGGAGAAGTGTATAGTGTTATGTTATACAGGTGGTGAAATGCTATATACTATGCGTTACATGCTAACATGCAATCAATCGCTTACGGAATGCCAGAGTACTATTGCCACTGTGATAACAGATCGGTACCCCTCAGCTTTTTACACATACCAGGCCATGCCAGACATTCAATCAAGTTCATTAACAAAATATACGAGATGCTCTTTCCGGTGTTTTTGGTCTGTATTTCACAAACACATTCATTATTGATGCTGCTTTAAAGAATCCTTGTGAAATGTCACCGATTTCCAAACGCAATAGCGCTATAATGTACACTAAAAGGTAACTTCATATGCTCCATGCATTGCAATAAAGGAAGTAATAACGGATTATTTCTATCAAGTATCGAGGAGATGCCCTATCAGTAATGAAAGCTTAGTTCTTCGGTTGATTGTGAAAATGTCCTACATGTGTGGAAGATGAAATGCAGACGTTTACATACCATTTTTCCGTTCCTTTTTTGAAATGAGTAGATGTATTGATTTCGTCAGCGCTTGCTTACTTCCGGTATGTGTCTAGCTCCATCATCTCGCTGTTTTGGGAAGGTAAATTGCTGCGCTTTTGTACCCTATTGACAGCTATCAGCATTTTTTGTGTTAGTATTATGTATATGTTTTTGTATCTGTGCTGTTTCATTTTTCGTTACATGTTTTTCCTCTTCAACCTTTGCAAAGCCTGGCATAGTATTAGTTATACCACATCGAACCCCACATGGCCCATATCACTTATAACTACATGCATAAATTGTCTTATCAAGCTTTAGCGTGGAGGGTGTAACAATTCTGTCTGTTAACTGTCGAGGACTATGTGACTTAAACAAACAAAAAGATGTCTTTTCTTACCTGAGACAGAAAAACTATAATATTTTTTGTTTACAAGACACACACTTTACCGAAGAAAAACAGCAAATAATAAGAGCAAACTGGGGGGGGTGATTGCTATTTTAGTTCTTTTAATTCATATTCTCGTGGGATCGCTATCCTTTTTAATAACAATTTTGAATACAAAGTTATACAAATGAAAAAAGATAATGCTGGAAATCTTCTAGTGCTGGATTTGCAAATAGATAATAGGAAAATTACATTAGTCACATTATATGGACCAAACACAGACAAACCAGATTTTTATGAAAATGTTGCTAACATAGTTGAAGAATTAGATAATGATCATTGTATTATATGTGGAGACTTTAATCTTGTCATAAATCCTACTCTTGATTATGATAACTACAAACACATCAATAATTCAAACGCTAGAAATAAAGTCTTAGAAATTATGGAAAAGTTTGATTTGATTGACTCATTTAGAGAATCACACCCAGAAGCTAAAAGATATACCTGGCGTAAAAAACAACCTCTTAAACAATCTAGAATTGACTTATTTCTTATATCTGAAAATATTTTACCAAGCCTAAAGTCAGCAACAATTGAACCAAGTTATAGATCTGACCATTCCAGTATAACAATTACATTACAGTTTAAGGATTTAAAAAAAGGGAGAGGTTTATGGAAATTCAACAACACTTTATTATTTGACTCAGATTATGTTAAGTCTATCAATGAAACCATTTTAAGAATTAAAGAGCAATAAATACTACCAGTTATAATAAGGAAAACATTAGTAATATACCTGACAATGAAATACAATTTTATAATTAACGACCAGCTATTTTTAGAGACACTCCTTATGGAAATCAGAGGGAAATCAATCTCCTACTCTAGTTATACAAAAAAAACACTTCTCAGAAATAGAAAAAAAACCTTATATATGAAATTCAACAGTTAGAGCATCATAATCAGTACAATAACACATTAGATACAAAAAAAGCAGAATTAAAAGAAATCAGGAAACACAAACTTAAGGGAAGTATGATAAGGTCAAAAGCAAAATGGATACAAGAAGGGGAAAAGCCTAGTAAATACTTTTGTGGACTTGAGTCAAGAAATTTCACAAACAAAATTATACCAAGAGTAGAGAAATCAAATGGTAATGTTATAACAGATCAGTCTGAAATATTAAAAGAAATTGAACTCTACTAAAAAAAAGATAATATACTCGATGAAGACTTAAATATATTATTAAATGAATATGATGTGCCAAAACTATCGGATATTGAATCTGAAGCCTTAGAAGAACCATTGAACATTAGTGAACTTGCAAAAACATTAATGAAAATGAAAAATAACAAAAGTCCAGGATCAGATGGTTTCACAGTTGAGTTTTTTAAAAAATTTTGGAAAAGCATTGGACATTTTATTGAAAGATCTATAAATTATGGTTTTGAGATAACAAACCTATCTGAAACACAAAAACAAGGAATAATAACATGTATACCAAAGGGAACTAAAAATCTAGATTTTTTTTGAAAAATTGGAGACCAATAACATTACTTAACATTGTTTATAAAATTGCTTCAGGTTCAATTGCTAATAGAATGAAAAATCTTTTAAAGAAATTAATCAGTACTGATCAGACAGGCTTTATTCTGGGGAGATATATTGGCGAAAACACAAGACTGATCTATGATATTATGCATTACACAGAGGAAAATAATTTACCAGGACTTTTATTACTAATTGATTTTGAAAAAGCGTTTGACTCTGTCTCATGGAGTTTTATCAGTAAAACACTTGATTTTTTCAATTTTGGTAAAAATATAATTAAATGGATCAACTTATTCCAACATGATTCCAAATCAGCAGTAGTTCAAGGTGGCAATTTGTCAAACTTTTTTAATATTGAGCGTGGGTGCAGACAAGGGGATCCAATATCACCATACATATTCATTCTCTGTGCGGAAATTTTATCAATTAAATTGAGAAATAATAAAAATATCAAAGGTATAAAAATAAGAGATAAGGAGTTTTTACTATCACAATACGCAGATGACACCACAGTCATACTAGATGGCACTAGATTATCTCTAAATTCCACTATTTCAGACTTAAATAAATACGCCAGAATTTCAGGACTGAATTTAAATTTTTCAAAAACCCAAGTGATTTGGATTGGCAACCAAAAATATAGTGAAACAATATACGAGACAAATCTAAACCTATTATGGGGTAATTCCAAGTTTAACTTATTAGGGATAGAATTTGATGTAGATCTTCACCGGATAACCAAATTAAACTTTGATAAAAAATTAGTGAAATTAAAATCATTAATTGTTAATTGGAAAAGACGAATATTAACTCCAATTGGAAGAATAACAATTGTAAAATCCCTTCTGGTATCCCAAATGAATCATCTTTTTATAGCATTACCAAACCCTGATGAAGTTTTCATTAAAAAATTAAATAGTATTTTATACGAGTTTGTGTGGAATAGTAAAACAGATCGTGTCAAAAGAGATGTATTAACAAAATGTCCAAACGAGGGGGGGCTAAAGATGATCAATGTTAAACACTTTATCACAGCACTGAAGTCAACATGGATAAGAAGACTATACAGAGAAACCAATAATTGGGTAAATATGTTTAATAATGCTTTTAATACCGACTACCTAGCAAATTGTGGAATACAAAACATCAAGGCTAACTCTAATAATACAACAAATTTATTTTGGAAGGATGTTTTAAAAGCCTGGTTTGCTACTGTTTTGGCGAGCAAACAATATGAAAATAATATATTGGAAAATCCTTTATGGTATAATGAACATATCAAAATTGGCGGGCAAACAGTGCTCTATAAAACCTGGTACTCTAAAGGAATAACACATGTACATAATATGATTAGACATGATGGATCTATT